AGGCCCCTACCACAACACCATCATTTACTCCTGCCCTCTGTTTCTTATCTTTTTAACTGATTATTTATCTCATCATTACTTAATTTCCTTGAAAGTCTTTGGAAACAAATGCCATAAAAAGCCTTTATGAAACTTCAGTAGAACATACCAACCAGATCAACTTACTAATGGCCTTGCTTGTTGACCACTTTAAAAAACAGGAAGAGTAAGGCAGAACTTCTCTCTGTGAAAACTCTGTTGATTCCCTGCAACTGATTCATATTCACCAGGTGCTGGTATGTCCTCAACTTTAATTCCTACTAAGCTGCACAGTACTGGAACATTTTAATTTTTTTTAGTTTTGCCCTTGAGTTTTCTTTGGTGAGTTAGTATTATCCACTCTCACCAATTTGCTGTTGCTCATTTGGTCTGTTTCTTCTACAACCTCTTCTACAGTCACTGTACTTTCTGAGAGATTCTGCTGCAGCTCACCCAGTAAGAAGTGTTTTACCATGCCACTCCTCCCCTTACCTTCACAAAGAACACCACAGCGTCAATCTAGCTCCCCCCCGCAACAGGCTGCAGCAGCCTTGTTGCCGAGTGCTCCTTGTCATCCCTCAGCCTCCCTGAGTGCTTCCTGCTCCTGCTGCACATGAAAACTGGTATTTTGGTTTAACAGTATTTTGTGGAGCTTCGAGCAAGTGAATCAAACTCCCTCTCCAAACTCCCTCTCCCCTCCACCCCTTTCTGGCCTATTTCTATCTGCCAAAACATATGATCCTTCTGTTTTCTTAATTTAGCTAAAACTTCAGCCTTTTACAGGCTAGTTTCTAATTTCCTGTGACCTTTGTTACTTTGCTGTTTAGCTGTGTGGCCAGTCTTCCCTTTAGCCTTACTCAAGCCTTTCTTAGCAGTTGGCACTGTACAATGAACATTTATTATTCTCCACACCACTTGTAAGGATATAATACTTTCAGATCCCCATTTTAGTTGAAAAGTAATGAATGAGAGCAACAGCTAGCAGGACTCAATGAAGCTCGAGATCCATTGCAGTCTTTTATTAAGAAACTCTCAGTCTGTTCAGATTATTATTATCATAAAATTATGAATCAAAAGCACAGAGAAGAGGGCATTTTGATTGCTTATGCTGGTAGAGAGAATACATAACAGACTGACCTTATAGTTTGACCCAACATGACAAAAAAGCAAAAAGCTAAAGCTGTGATGTTAAATCTTTGAAATGTCAGGAAATTCTGAAGTTTTACATCAGCCTTCATGTTGCCTTCTTACATTAAAATAAATCTGTATGTCAAATAGCAGAAATCTAACCTAGGTTATAATAATATATACTGCAACCTTAAATACACACATAATGAATTATTAGATATGCAAGCATAGAATCCTGCAATATGTTATACTTGAAATAATACTCATAGTATCCCTTTATTCTCAGAAATGCCTGATAAAAGACCTGTTCCCTGTAGATTTAAGATATACTACAGCACTCCTTGTCTTTCCATCCCACCAAGTTAGCTACTAGGCCTGCCTGAGAAGCAAAGAGAAAAACTAACTGGCTGAGCTGAATTCCAGATGCAGGTAAGTGTCACTGTTTTTACTGATACAGTCTATGTCACTTACTGACTAAACTTTCATTCAAATAAAAATTGTAAGTCTGACATACAAATAACTGTTTAAAAAAGTTGATGTGGTAGAAAAAACAGCATATATACATAACTGCATAAGTGCGATACGTAATTCAAGTATTAGTATCTGAGATGCAATATAGTTACATTATTCTTAAAGATTGTGTGCCAATCTGCTTTTGCGTTTAAATGTGTGCGTGCGCGCACACACACACAATAACCCACATCCTCTATGTGTTTACAGATATCTTCAGTCTTAAACAAAATGGATAGTCACAGACAAACTGAAAAAATGCACTTAAAAGAAACTGCTGTTAGAACATACAGAATGCACCGTCTGGAATACAAAAGAAGCAAATGGCAGAATATTGGTACTGCCTGACATAAAACAGTAACCCATCAATGTGTTTGAAAATACACTCTACCAGTCTACGTGGTGTAGAGAACAGAATTGTTTGTTTCAGCATCAGATTATGCACTTATGTAATCTCGTGAATTAAGGGTAGCAAACTGTAAAATTCCTACAGACTTTGCGACATGCTTGACTCAAATTATGTGTGTACAGTAATGAACATTTTTTCAAAGTTTCAGGTAAATTTAGAAAAAGAGTAAAGGTTAAGCATGAGCAAATCAATTATTTTCTGAAATTTTCTTTTAATATCTATTTTACTTTGAATAACTTTTTAAAATCATATGTATGTAAAGCAATATACAGACAGTTGTGTTTAATACGAACAAGTATTTTTGATATGAGAGAAAGGCAATACAGGCAAAGACAAATCCTTTTTTCTTTGCATATAGGAGAATATTTAAGACTAAAATTAAATAAAAGACTAAAAATTTCAGACTAAAAATAGTGGTATGAGCAAGTTATGTGGCTATTGCTACTAAAACAATCAGCCGATAAATACTACTATCTATCCCACTAGGATAATCAGGTGACAGTTACTGTAAGTTTGGTCCTGCAAACATAGTTAAACACTGCGGCATCTCTTCTAGAGTTACAGACTGCATTCTACTTTTTTTTTTCAGTAACTCAACTGAAGCTTTCCTTTACTCCATGTAATTAAAAAAAAAAGTATCTGTTATTCCCAGTTTCAGACTAGAAAATTATTTCATTAAGACAGAATAGTTTTCAATTCTATTCCCATCTCGTAACGTACACCGTAAGTAGAGCTTATAAAATTTCAGTACGGTCCTGTTAAATGCATTCCTGTGACAAAAGAGGTTTCTGCAAGAGATACTCCTGCTACAAAGAACATACACTGCATGCAGAAATTCAGTCAAAACATAATCAGTTAACAGTTGTCTTTGAAAAATTAATCTGAAAGACATTATTAATGTTGCAATAAAATAACAAGATCACACATTTTACTTTTTCTAAGCATTAGCTTAACATGCTGGAAGATTATTGTTTTCTGTGGGAATTGTATCACCATCTCATTTTCTCCATCATTACTGCCAGGATGCCACAGCAAACCAGCTAGATGCTTAAACAGCTGAGATTTTTTTATTTATTTGTTTGCATGGTAGCTCATTTCAGATCTCTTTATGTTAATAAATAAAAGTTGAAAAACCAGTAAGAACCTATTTCAGCCATCAAGGCACTATAGGTTTTCTTCACATCAAATCTCTCTTTGACTTTCTGGCAAATTTCAATTAAGGATATGTTTACTATTTCCTCTTTAGAAACACCTAATGTTTTAAGTAACTTTCACATTACCAATGAAAGAATCTGACAAATTACATGGCAAATGAAGAAAATGAAGCAAATAATGATAACCCTTCTCAAATTGAAAACAAACAATACTCATCTTCCTGGCATTACAGAACAAACTTCCACTAACACACATTTCAAGGCATCACTCAAAATACCGATCTGGGTTTAAGACCATTTCACAACATAATTAGGCCCCACCAAAATTGAAAGCTGCAGTAACTTTAAGCCACAGCCATACCCGTGTGCATGCACTCATGTGAAAGTATCGCACACACTAAATTGCACTGAGGCCGTGACAACATGCAACTTAGTAATGTGCAATATCTCCACCAGAGCAAGCAGAATGGGAGCTTCAGGGAAGAAGGGTATGGTGCATTCAGGAAGAGAACGACATGCTGCTTAGGGAAAGGAAAATGGTTCAGGCAAAGGTGTGCATGCTACTATTTTGGAGACCTGTGAACTGGAGAATTACTGCTTCATCCATTCAGGGGAAAAAAAAAATCCATACAAGAGAACCACCTCCCTATTTCAGGACTAAGGACATAGTATTCCTACTTATGCAGTGAGGTAGGTGGCTTATGAACTAACTTGATTTTACAGAACCTTTCTGAACAAAGCACATCTCACAGCTATGTGCAGATAACAATTTCCTCCTGACCCTCAAAATACTACATTATTAATAGAATTACAATGAAAAATTTCACTAGCTAGTATTGAGAACTAAAATTATCCAAATCCAGTAAACCGGTCCAAGTGGTTCTCACATTTCTGAAGCAAGCAATCTTCCTAGCCCTGTCTGAGAGTGCTGCCAAAAGAATTCCTGCAGCTCAACTTACTCTGGCATAACCCTTCTGCCACATCCGCCAGTACCCTCCCTATTCCCCTCCCTCCACCAATTCCTATAGCTGACTTTTAGTACGTTCAGTGAAAGAAAATGCATTTACTATATTCACAGGCTACTAAACACCACTGCCAGTCAAGGGAGACTCTTGCACACAATGGAGGTGCAATACTACCTTCATAATTCATCACATTCTTGTGCTGATACCCACATATATAATATGGAAAACAGGAAAAAATTAAAATCAAAAAGGAAAAAAAAAAAAAAAGGACAGAACGGCAAGAGGGACAAAAGGCAAAGGGAGCATTTATCAAGAAGAAATAGTAATGAAGTGTGGCTGCACCAGGAACATGAAAATTGGAGTGAGAAAGACCTGAGATTGACTGTAAACCAAGAAAAAAACAGAAAAACCAACCGGGCACGAAAGACCAAAACTAGCAGAGAACACATGCTATTTTGCTACTGAGGTATTAGCAGTATTCAGGATTATTACCATTTTCCTAAATTTTTATTTCCCACCTCATTTGCAGCCAATGGCACACGGAATTCCAGCACGGAATTTGGCATTGTGAATTTTGAATGAGTTGCTTTATTTGAAGTAGCACCAGTACTTCACACATCAGTCCAAAAACTCTGTGGTCACACATGGTTTTGGTAGCTATCTTCTTCCCAGGCTTTGTACCATCTTCTACTGAATCATCACCCAAATATTGATCTTCCCTCTGCCCCCACCGATTAAATACTGCTTTCCCCAAAACGTAACCAATCAGGAGGACAAAAGGCAGTATATGGCAACAAAGCACACACGAGCACTTACTCTAGAATGATAGGAGCGTTTTCATCGTGAAAGTTACTTGAAATGGGGAAAATTGACTCATGAACAGTTTGCAAAACCATGTTTGTTCTATAGTCCAAACACTGCCAGTCTCCTTCTGGAGAATTGCTTGGAAGCTGGCAGGACTTACCTGTGAGAACTGGGTCAACTCCATCAAATGCAGATAACCTAGGGCAAAGGCAAATGCCCAGCTTACAAACAGAATCACATTCACAACGTGGGGAAAGACAAAACCAACAGCAGACCACCCCTTGTGTTTGCCTCTTTGTCCCAGGAGAAGTCTAGAAAGACTGAATTATGTTCCCAGGCTGAGAAGCTCCACCCTGAGCAAAGGCGCTTCTTGTAGATGAAGCCAGACACCCTGTGTCATTGCAGAGTAGCAACAGGTCAAGCAAAAACATTAGGGACAGCTGTTGCTTTTGAAAAGCAGAAGACTACAGTTCTGCCAGGAAGAAATGCTGGACTTCACCCTTAAGGACCCTTCTACGTGTTTCAGTAAGAGTTCTTTCCAGGACTGGGCAATAAACCATTTTATTTAAAAATTTGCCCCCTGCCAGCCACTGTCAAGCATTCGGGGCTGTGCCACCTGCACGGCGCTGGGTCAGTGGAGCCCCCCCGCCCCTCCTGGAACACTCTTGCCACCTCATCGAGGAGACCCCAGGCATGGGATGAGGAGGGGGCTGGGGCCCAGGGATCACGAGGGGAGGTGGAGGGCGGTCCTTGTACCCAAAGGGCAGCCTTTCTCTCGGGCAAGCAACATGGCAGGCAGGAACGAGCCCCAGGAAAGGGACTCTCAGCCCCCGTGACCCTCCTCCTTCACCCACATTTGGACACCTTTCAGGACATAGGCCCCCCGTGCTCAAACCTGCCATATTTGGCCACGTGCATCGGCCATGGTCACAATCGCCATCACAGTGGCCTTTGTGAGGTCACCGACCACCTCACTGCCGGGACCTATAAAAGGCAGGGGCGCCTGCAGCTGGCCCAGAGCTCGCCGAGCTTCTGGGTCCTCAGATGCCAAGCATGCTTGGAAGGAAGAGGAGCCACAGCCGAGAGGCGGG